AAGTTTCTGAAAGAAACTAACTGCATTTGATGTAACAGGCCAAAATTAATTGACTATGTGTAGCTGTGGTTACAGAAGTTGGAAAAAAAGAACTTAATATTAAAATGTATGAGCTATAACACAGGTGGCTGGTGTTACATGCACAAAGCACTTTAAATAATATCTGTAGTAATATTTCAATCTGAAAACATTAATAACTTGACATAAAAATAATCTGCAGTTTTAAAATCTGCAGCTTCTGTTCTCTATCAAGCAAAAAATAAAAACTAAATATTCTCTAGTTGTAACTTCTCAAATGTTAAGGATTTCTTGCTCTGTTCTATGTCATTATAAATGTACTGTCTACTGTTTTAATGAATACACTGCAAATACAGAAGACAACACATAAATCATATGCGTTTTTTGTGCCTGCGTGGGTTCTCTACAGGTACTCCGGCTTCCTCCCAACCTCCAAAGACATGCAGCTTAGGTTGATTGGTGACTCTAAATTACCCGTAGGAGTGAGTGTGAGTGTGTGTGGGTGTTTGTCTCTAAGTGTCAGCCTTGTGATAGACTGGCAACCTGTCCAGGGTGGACCCTGCCTCTTGCCCAGTGTCAGCTGATATATATCATTAATTGCAAATCAAAACCTTAATAAAAAATAGCATGTATTTCTATTCAGTTTTATGATTATATTATACCACTGCACTGACATTTCAATCTAGGTGCCACTATTTAATTTGTAATATGAGTGACTTTTATTCAGTCCTTCATTTGCTTTAATTTTATATAGAATTCCATCCACCCATGAATGGTGTAATACAACAAATGAGCCTGATCATACAAATTCTCAAGAGGACAAAGAGGTTTAAGAAAAAAAGCCTACAGTACCTTCACAATGACATCCGGAGGCCATCTGCCCTTCATGAGAGGGTGATTTTCAAAGCAAAAGACCTTGATATGAGGACTTTGAGGGTTGGTAGTAAAATCCCACAGGAACAGTTATCCTCTTGTAACATTTTCAGTGCTGCTGTACGCTTGCATTACTGCTACAGGAATTGATACTTCTTGTCAATGAAGCAACTCAATCCCAGTTTCATGTGCAGGCTAGTCAGTTCTTTCATGGGAATTTTGGTATTACTGGAAAGGAATTCCACCTTGTGGATGAGGGTAACTTTCTGTGACAGACATCTTCTGACACAACTGTACATCAGCTTGCCTTGGTCCAGGCAGCTGTGCATTTTGCAGTACTGTTCCTATATTTCCAATGATGTCTGCACTGGACACCACCGGTGATAATTAGGTTGACTGTACATGATGCACATCTCTAATGAAAAAAATGACCATGAGTATCAGTGGAGCAGGTTTCTGTGAGAACCCGTACATGTACTCTTACTCTTGGACGAGTAAATCCCAGCTTCGAACATGCCACCAATGTAGGCGTGGCGCTCGTTGAAGCCTGTGTGGATGATGGCATTGAGGAATGGAGACCCTGGGAGGAACCACACAGCACCATCAATAAACACTGCTTGTACTAATATTACTACAACTACTACTGCTACCACTACTGCTGTCACTATTTTATTTAATGTACTACTGCAGCTAGGGCCTCACAGCGAGAAGGTTCCGGGTTCGGGCCCCACCCGGGACCTTTCTGTGTTTGCATGTGTAACCTGTAACCATCAAAGACTCGTATGCTCTCCCTAATGTAGAGGAGGCTTTCTCAGCTCTCACCGGATCGAGGTGGTTCTCAGTCCTCGACCTCAAAAGCGGGTACTACCAGATCGAGGTTGACAAGAAGGACAAACACAAAACAGCCTTTGTATGTCCTATGAGTTTCTGGGAGTTTAATCGAATGCCCCAGGGCATAACCAATGCTGCCAGCACGTTTCAGAGGCTGATGAAGAAGTGCATGGGGGACATTAATCTTAAGGAAGTCCTAGTATTTTTAGATGACCTTATAGTGTTCTCCGAAACCCTCGAACAACATGAAACACGCCTTCTCCATGTACTCGGTCGCCTCAGGGAATACGGTCTGAAACTGTCTCTCAAAAAGTGTAGTTTTTTTCAGTCTTCGGTAAGGTACTTAGGTCACATTGTCTCCCAACATGGCATAGAAACACCCCAAAAAAGTTGCAGCACTCAAAACATGGCCAAGTCCCAGAAACCTTAAGGAGCTGCGTTCCTTCCTAGGTTTCACTGGGTATTATAGGCGGTTTATTAAAGACTTCTCTAAAATAGTGAAGCCACTTACAAACCTAACCGCCAGATACCCGCCGCTGAGGAAGAGCCAAAGCTCTAAGCCAAACCGTGACCAATACTTTCAACAAAAAGCCCCTTTTGGGGAGAGATGGGATGAAAGTTGCCAACAAGCTTTCGAAACAATCATAGACAAACTCACCACAGCCCCCGTGTTAGGGTTTGCCAACATCAAGCTTCCCTACGTGCTCCACACAGATGCTAGCACAACAGGGCTAGGGGCAGCCTTGTATCAAGAGCAGGGGGGAGAGATGCGCGTAATTGTGTATGCAAGTAGAGGTCTGTCTAAAAGCGAATCATGTTACCCTGCTCACAAGCTTGAGTTTTTAGCTCTCAAGTGGGCTGTAACAGAAAAGTTTTGTGACTATTTGTATGGCGGTCCCTTTACAGTCATAACAGACAGTAATCCTTTGACATATATCTTGACCACAGCTAAGTTGTCCGCCCTGTCTTCCTTCGAGTTTCAGCTTCAGTACAGAGCAGGCAAACAAAATATGGACGCAGACGGGTTGTCCCGCCGTCCCCATCCTGAGCCAGTAAATGACCTTGTCTCCCTGAAAGAACAAGAACGTATCTGCCAGGTTGTCAAACGCCACTTACCTGGTACGGACCCTTTCACTCATGTCCCTCCAAATGATGTCAGTGCTATCTGTGAAAAACACCTAGTCCTTCAGTCTCTTGACACAGATAACAGTGCTCCTACCTGCCCCCTAGTAACATCTTTGTCCATGTCTGCCCAAGCTATTCCTGACAGTTACGATCAGTGTAACGGTCTCCCAGTCATCCCAAGTATTTCGGAGGAAGAGTTAAGACAAAGCCAGAGAGATGACCCTGCAATAAATGAGGTAATCCATCAGCTCGAAACAGGGGAATCATCTCCCCCTACTGTACGCAAAGAAATCACAGAACTCCCCATTCTTCAGCGTGAAATAGCCAAGCTTGAGTTGCAGAATGGGATCCTGTATAGAAAAAGGCAAGCTGGTGAAGAAACTCAGTATCAACTTGTTCTTCCTGAAAACCTAAGACACATGGTTTTAAAACACCTTCACGATGACATGGGCCACCTTGGGACGGACCGAACTCTTGACCTCACGCGAACCAGATTCTTCTGGCCTATAATGGCCTCAGAGGTTGAACAGAAAATCAAAAGTTGTCCCAGATACGTTTGCAGAAAAACACACACATCATGTGCTGGTAAGAAATGTCAGGCTCAGAGGAAAAAACAACTTGGCCGATAAGTGGGAATCCACTGTCTATGTGGTGGTGAGTCAAAGAGACAACCTACCTGTGTATACAGTCAGGCCTGAATGCCAAAGAACTCTTCACAGAGACCTTTTGTTACCCTGTGGGTTCCTGCCGACTGTCTCTGAAACTCCTCCCGCAGTACAAACCAAGCCTCACAGGCCAAGTACACGCCAACACCCAACAACGGAACCTGAGTTTGAATGCAACTCTGAGGAAAATGAAAGCTGCCCCCTCTATTATTCCCCAGATCCCCCCAGAGAGATCTCAAGGTCTACTGAGGAATACAGAGTAGTCCTTTCTCCCAGAGCCTACTCCAGTCCTGCTGACATTCAGCCCAAATCAGGTGATGTAACAGTCCCTGAACAAGTGACAATCCCTGATAATGCTTCAGAGGACTTAAACGAACCGGAACTTGAAAACCTACCTGATTATGACAATCCAGCTGATCGTGGAAACTTACTGGATTATGGAAATGAAACTGGACATGAAAATGTACCTGGAACAGACATTTTCCCTGGATTGGACAAAGAACCTGAAATGGAAAACTTACCTGCAAAGGAAGGAGAACAAAAAGTAACAACAAATGAGGAAACTGAAACCATTGAAAAAAAGGCAAATGACACTGAAATAATCAGAAATAACACTGTTGATAATGATACAAGAGGAAATTATTCTGACACAGAGCAAACTGTCAGACGATCTACCAGAGAAAGGAAGGCGCCCAAACAGTTAACCTACCCTCAATTGGATAACCCTCTCATTAGCATAGTTCAGTCCCTATTCCAGAGCTTAAGTGAAGCTGTCACTGGTTCTATCCAAGTACATGAAATCAAAGTAGTCTAACTATGCAGTATGCAAAGGGACTTGCATAGACTTAAGTGGGGAGGGTGTAACCTGGGTTAACAGAGCCCCGGTTGAATAAAGGCCTGATAGTAAAAGTGGCTTTGAATACAAACGAGAAGGTCAGTGGATAAATGTGCATTAAAAAACCACTATAATGCTATTTATTATTTCATGGTGTTATATTTTATTTGGGTTAAAAAACATGTTAAAAAGTGTAAATTCATTGGGTTCCATTGTAATTTGTTTTGAAATAGATGTCATCTAGACCTTTATTTTGAAAAGGCAGGCTGCTGCCAAGAGCCATGTGACTAGTAACAGCCAACCATATCGCTGTGACCTCTCTGGTTCAAGAAGAGGAAGATGTAGAGGCAGGTGTGCCTTTAGCTGTTATAGAAGCTGTCTAAATGCTATGTTTCATATCCTGAAAAATAAGTATTTTTGGTTATCCAACCTGTTGCTGTTACAGAGGTTTTTTTTTTTTTACATTGCTGAACAGGACTTGGCCTTAAGATTGGGTCGAATGGTTGTGAGCTGGAACGAGAGTTTAACGACACTTGTGTGGAACGAGATGGCGAGCCTCCCAGATCTTATGAACTGTGCATATGCAAGAAACTAAACGCTCTCTGCTAGACTGGATCTGGATCTCACCCAATCTGGTAGGATTTACCAATTGGGTTGAATGATTGTGAGCTGGAGCGAGAGTTTAACGACACTTGTGTGGAACGAGATGGCGAGCCTCCCACGACGGATTTTATGAGCTGTGCATACGCAAGAAGCTAAACGCTCTCTGCTAGACTGGATCCGGATCTCACCCAATCTGGTAGAAGGGTGTGTGCACACCCTCGTGAGTGGTACACATGTTCTCTCTATGCTTGTGTGGGATCTCTCCGGGTACTCCGGCTTCCTCCCACAGTCCAAAGACATGCAGCTTAGGTTGATTGGTGTCTCTAAATTGCCCATAGGAGTGTGTGTGCACGTGTGTGGTTGTTCGTTTGTGTATTGGCCCTGTGATGGATTGGCGACCTGTCCAGGGTGTACCCCGCCTTCGCCCAATTGCCAGCCGGGACTGACCCCCCCCCTCTTTCAGGGACTAAGCGGTAGAAAATGAATGAATGAATACTACTGCAGCTTGCTCAAAACAGATGATGGTACTTCTGGTACTCACTCTGCTTCTATTAATGCTACTAGGGTTTTCAGTACTACCACTATTTTGCTATATTATTCCTACTACTGTTTCTAGTATTAGTTCCTTATACTACTACATATTACTATCATTGGTACATTTGCTCTTCCTACTACTTCAACGGTTTGTACCATTACAGGTACTGAAAAAAAAATCTGTAAAAGTGACATCATCTCTGTATTCTTCATCCTGTTCAGAATTTGACTGAACATGCAATGCACTGTAAGTGGCTATGACTTTGGCAATCCATAAGATGAATAAATCAGCTTTATCTCTGCTGCAGTAACATTGTATGTGTTCTGGTTCTGATTCTTCTACAGGCCGTGTCGGCCAGGTTCTCCTCCTAAGTGCAAGCGCTGATCCATTGAAAAGTTATACTCAACAAAAGCTGTTAGCGTTGGCTGTCCAGATGTCAGCTGTGGTGGAAACAGAGTGCACCTCTCCAAGTGTGGCCTTCAAAGTAGATTCCATCACTACTTATTCTCTCTCCATGTAGCAGGCTAATATCTGTATGGCAACTTGTCATTGCTCTTTGTAGGTCTTTTATCTATAATGCATCAAAATGAGGGTCACCAGGGGAAATGGGTAATACCTCCTCCACAGTACACCCAATGACAAGCTTCTTCAGATCTTCTCCACCTAACATCTGTCCATCAGCGTATCCTACTTTGAAGTCCACTTTCTGCTGTCTGGCCAAAGTGCATTCATCTCTGGCAGCAGAGGCCTCTGTGCCGACAAGTTTCACATGCTTTAAAAAAGTAAATGTCTATTTCATGGTTATAAAGATTTTGATGCCCAAATAGTTTATTATGGACAATGCATTAACATATTTTGTATCTTTGACTGGGATAAACTGAAAACAATGACAATACTCGCAGTTGGTGAAAACATGTTTCTCACTCTCATCTTTCATCCTTCCTTTAGCTTTTTGGCGAGTAGCTGATTTGAACCTGTCCACATACACGTGTCATAAGATAGTCCTCCTACAGTAGGATAAAAGTAATATTGCATTCAGACTACACAGTAGTGCAGTGTTATTTCTAGTAGTAACTTTAATACTATTACATTCCTAGAAATTGTCACCCTCAGTGTTCACTGCAGGTTATGCAGCTCACTTATAGCTTTTTCATAACAGTGGCAGCATGTAATTTAGGATGAACACATCAGTGTGTGGTAGTATGGTCTGTGGTGCTCTGCTTTATTATAATTTTACCCAAAAACCCAGCAAGTGAAGAAAGTAAAAGAACTCAACAGAAAGCAAGTGAAGACATATATAGAAGGAGGCGGAAAAGGAGAAAGCAGGTGATGTGAGGGAACAGCGTCTAAGTGGAGGGGAGGAGTAGAGGAGGAAGAGAGTGAGAGAACAGGAGAAGCTGGGGACCTGACACATCTGGTTACAGTAAAAAAATTTAAAAAAAGAGTGAGGAGAGGGAGCCGATCTACAGTAAAAGTCTTGTCTCTTTCTTAAATAGAGCATGAAGACCACACACTCGCTGAGTGGGACTCGCCTGTTGCGGGCAAACTGGGCCGTGATTGCATAGTTTATGGCTGAGGCATGATGGGTAAAGATTAAAGATGGCTGCCCTGAGGGCATACAGCAATACCATTACTCTTGATGGATTCTTTCTTCGCACACATATTCTCTACAGACGTCACATAGGCCACAGAGGCTTGACTAAAACATGGTGTGATGATGGGATCAGGAGAGGCAGGGGATGGATGCTCAGCAGCTTCACCAAACCTCCTGTTCCCTTCTCTTGTCCTCATCTGTGCTCCACACTGCTCTGCACATAACACAGTCTATAAGATAATGCTCAGTGCTTACAAGAGCTGAAAATTGCCAGGATGTATGTATGAGAATGTATATAGAACAAAATGTCATTGTTGATTTTTGATTTTTTTAAATTCATCTTTCTCAAGACCAATAGTTTGTAAAATTTGAGAGCAATTATGTACAAGGCTAATCCTCACCACTTTGATTTAAAATAAAAATATATTGTTTTAGTTTTCCTTTGAATTATTACTCTGTGATTTAACAAACAATTTTCTTGTCGTTGTGAAATCCTCCTTATACCATACATCCATGATCAAATAAAACATTAAAATAATGTTTCTATGCTCTGTTGCCAGTTGATAGAATGACAATGCTAAAACATAACAGGCTCATTTAAGTTTAAGTTTAGATTTGTTCTTAGTTTTTACACTTTTTCTATTATATTTGTGCATAATGTATAAAATTTGCATGTGATTTGTGAAGGCAGCAGCTAATTATACAATCAGTGACCAGGAACTCATCATGTTGTGATGGAACAAGCTCATAACAAAGCTTTATTTTCTACAAATTGAATGGTGGTGAAATAGTATTACTCTTTTTGTTAAAGAAAGTTGTTTATTTACAGTACATGTTAGACATAAAAGATGTGGAATGACAAAATACACATAATATAATACACAACATCATATATATGGTCGAAAGAGAGTATATATGTCGTTCAGACAGTATATTCTCTGAATATATTTACCTGGCCCTCCCATAAGTCCATATTTTATTCATAAATTTTATTTTTATTTAACTTTTATTTAACTAGGTAAAATCCCACTGGGGTTACCGACCTCTTTTCTATGTCAGACCTGATCAAGATGGCAGAACACATTTTCAGTGTTAGGATGATTTTCATTTTTAGATAGAAATGAATATAATTAGTTAGGGTTTTCATTATATAGCATACATAAGTTTATATATTTTAATCTCACAGTTGTGTTTTTCTTATGTAGTTACATATCACCCTATGTGTGCACTGAATCACTGGTCAGTATACTTTGTTAGCCAACTGGAGCACTGGTTAACATCAAGGGAGACTGGTTCACTAAAACATTGAAACTCATTAGATTTACAGCTTTAGCAAAGACGGTCCACAGTTAATTTATTATCACCACCTGGCTGAAGAGGCCAGGGAATTTGGGGTCACTGGGACAAGAGATTAGATCTAAAAGCCAACAAGAGGAAGACAACTTCAAAGGCAGGATCATATACAGACACACACAGGCAGAGCAGTTTTATTGGAACAGGAAAGCAATGTCTAAAATGTAGCAGTTCCTTGGAAACAAAGGAAGACATAAGTGTCTATGTAGGAATTGAGACACTATAGGTATTCCTCCCTTTTTAGGGTGCTGTCCACGACCATTGGAGCAGAGAGGATGGACAGATTGAAGGACCAATATCAGGAGAGTTAAGTTTAAACCACAACTTCTCCCCAACAGTTTTGGACCAATCAGATAGTAACATCTTTTCATACAAATATTGTATACCGCCAAGTTGGAGTCAGTCTTTTCTGTTTATCCTAAACAGTGAAGCTCCATGTGCACATGCTTATTTTGATACGTTAATGCATAATAAATTTCACACTGTGAAATATCTTTATATTAGTCTTTTCTTTTCAATATAAAAGAACACGTCTCACATCATACAGGATAAATCCTACAGTACTTAAAAAACACAAATATACAATTGCACCTGTCAACATGCATGAGGCATAAAAAAAAAAGCCAAGAAATCAGCGGTTCTCAAAGATATCTTTCAATGTTATGAAAGTTAAAATGAGCGAAAACAGTGGCAATTAGTAAGAGACAACATCCTTATGAATAACATTCCCCTCTACAAACTGTAGAGCTTTTCTTTCCCTTTCTCTGATTATATGCTCAGACATCCAGCAGATATGAGTCCTGTGATCTAAGGTAATAATTAGAACATGAACTTTGTGAAATAAGTTAGCAAAGATATGAAGGAAGGTTGTCTAGAATGGTTTTCAAAAAAATAAAAAATCGAAGCGTACCAAAGACTCAAACAGTACACAGAGAGAGAAAGCCACGGTTATTTTCCAAATATCCCAAATTGAGACTAAAACCAACAGTGAACTGCATGTATTCAACCTAATGTCTGTGAATCCAGACCCAGGTTTAACTTATTTATCTGTGTTGTAGACCTCCACTGTTTTCCAAAAAATGTATATACGTATTTAAAACACATCAGTGAACCATACCATGTTTGACATGTTTCTTCCTCAAGAAAAATGTGAGGCCCGTCTGTCAAAGAACAGCTCCAAAGAGAAGAGCCATCACTTTTTATAGTCTCTAAAGTAGAGTCAACTGCGCATGTGCATGATCTCTACTCTGTTTAAGTCACTCTCACCTTACACATAACAGTGTGCTTAATATTATAACTAAATTGAGGTTTGTGTTCCAGAATGTTAGAAGAACCAAGTGAGACCCATTTCCTTGCACTCTTTTTGACCTCCTTCAGCATGCATAATGTGTCTGGCGGTTGTGAGCTACAAGCGCTGGTACCAGACTCAGCAGAGCGAGTTTGTATGAGTTGTACTAGTACTGATGTACTGAATGGTGCCAGCAGCATTACGCCCAGCTACAGTAAGAGCTGAAGGGGAAAAGTGGCAGCCTGTGTCCTGCTGCACTGCTTAAAGCTAAACTTTGCCACACAGTACTCAAGTGAGTTTTTTTGCACTTGTTATTACGCTTTAATTTATACAGTTGGCAGTTACATAGTTTGGTAACCTATGTATAGAAGGCGAATACACAGGAGGTACCAGTGTAGCTCTGATTAGCATCTAACTTGCAAGAAATACTAGTAGACATACTGATTCGTTCATTTTGGGCCAGCACTAGATGAGCCACTGAAATGCGAGACAGCATACTACTCACACAGGTAATAATTAGGGACATGCAGTGGAACTTCAAAAGGAGTAGGGAGAAATTCTATCATTCTGCATAACACTGTGTCCTTCATTTTACCCACTCACAGTCTGCTCACACAACTCTGAATGAAACAACGTACTCACTGTGCCTTTGTTTTCTCATGCAGGTGTGTGGAGCGCTGTGAGGCCTTTGAGCTGTGAGAGCGTGCTTGATAGAAAGGGCTTGCATCTTAAAAAGCTGAGAGGACTTGGTAGAGGACTGTGGAGTTTCATACACAGCTCCTGCATACAAAGCGAGATGCAGTTAATTGATACTGTCGAGCTGGAGCCCTGTCTGTCTCCACGTTCCCTTCCAAAGCCTGCTGTAATGAATAACTGTCCTCCAAGACAGGCCCTGGCCCTGTGTCTATCTGTCTGTCTCAGCTACAAATGTTGTTTTGCCCAAATTGCTGTCACAATCATTTAATCTGTTCACTCCAGAGAAAAAAGATACTCGCTTTGACATCTTTCACTCTTCCTCTCTTGGCTTGCCTCCTCTCTCTCTCCCCCTCGCTTTCTGTATTTCTTTGCCCTTGCAATGTGTTCTTTGGCACAGTCTTATCGTCTCTCATTCCCTTCTCCTCCCTCCACTTCCCCTATTTGTGTTTTTACCCTCCTCCCTGAATGCACCATGTAACATTCTTATTTGTGTCTCTGGTGACACTAATTTGAAAATAGCTTGAGGCTTCCCCTGGGCTACAACCCCAATAGGCTCTTTGTTGATTAGTGGCAACTTAAGAAAGTTGGTTAGGAGAGTGGTGACAGTCCCTCTGTCCCTCAGAGTCATATTTTGTTCAGGTGACCAGTGGATGGGCAGGGATGGAGGGCCATGCCGTGTTTGAGTTCTCAGGGAGCAGCAGTATTCCATGTGATCTGAGACTGGCATGATGTTTTGAAAACACAGCTAGTGCACTGCAGCATGTCAATTCCCCTGTCGGGGCTATTTTGATTATATTATGTAAATGTTTTGAAGTGACCATGCTTAATTTATGAAGAAGGGCGGGGAGTGTGTCTTTCTGTGTGTGAATCTAGGGTGATTTTTCACTATATCATCCCAGCATACTAAATCATTTATAGAGGCATGTTTTGATGGTAGTTAAACTTTAAAGCTCTAATTGGGTCTCAACGACAAATGTTTTCTTAGGTTTTCTCTTAAATCTGTGTATGAGGAAAATAAGAATAATGAATACTGAGTATAACTGTATGATTTGTTCTTATGCAAATGACAACTTTGGGAATCAGGATAGTTCTTGTCCAAGGTGTGTTGAAATCAGGTCATAAATAAGGAAACATTCTGTGCTCTTTGTCTTAGTAACATGGGAGGTCAGTATCAGAACAAACAAGGCTAATAATACATATTAGATTTAACAGAAAAATGAGTTTCTCATTTGTTTTACCAGAACAAAACCTGGATGTTCAGTTTTACCTTACCATTTTGTTGTTGTTGTAGTTTTTTAGTTTTACCTGTGCCTGAAATTATAGGGTTATTTATTAGTGAGCAGTAAATTGGGACTTTCTAATTAGCATCATCAGTGCCAGCTGTAGAATTGCAGAATGCTAAATTTTATACAATCTGGAGCATTGTGGAATTGTTAGCAGAAAGCCATGTAAATGCCATGGACACTGCTTTTGTGTGTTCCTGAAGGAACTACTGTATATAATGGATACATTTACATACAAAAAAACTGAGATGCTGAAATTAATTGGTGCAGGGTAGATATCATGCACGATATGGTAAATAGAGAGTGCCTTCAGACACTGCCTAGGTTTGACCAGTATCTCGTGTTCTGTTTCCTAATTTACAGACATTCACCATAAACCATAATAAGGCTAATTTTGATAAATACTTTGAGCACAAGACAACAAAACTGATTGAAAGAAAAATGCTTTATTGGTTTGTACACATGAGTTAAGACTGACCTGACAAAAGAGAATTTTTATCGCTTGATAAAATTTATGTTTATACTTGCTGAATTTGGAGCTTTTGTTCCAGTTGCTTTGATCTCTGCATGCCTCTCTCTCTTGTCTTTCCCTCTCCCCCACTCTGCTCAGTCAGAGAGCTGAGGTAAATTAAGCACCTCTAATCAATATGCCTACAACTTATTTAACTAATGAGATGGCTTATTTTGCCAGTGGGGAAGGCATTTGTAGGACTTTGATGCCTCGGATAGGGGCCTTTCATCCCCACATGTTGACTCCAACTTCACATCATGATTACTGGCATCACGAGAGAACACTCAGCCCC